TTGGTTCCCAACTTAGCAAATTACCGGAAAAAAATTAATGGGCCCGTACGTGGGAATCACGCTTACTCGAGGATTAGGTTTGAATTCGTTAATACCTACTTGGACGAGGGTCGTCCTCTCAAGATTCCAGTCTTCTAATTTCTCAGGTTCCTAAGTTAACGACTTATCCGAAAAAATATTTCGAGTGCCCGTACCTGGGAACAACGCATATCCGAAGGCTGGGTTTAAGCTCGTTAATACCCATTTGAACAGGAAACATCCTCTTAAAACTTCAGCTTTTCAGCATTTCTGGTTCCCAAGTTAACAGCCTGTCCGTAAAAAACCTTGGCGGGCCCGTACATGGGTGCCACGCGGGTAAGAACTCCCACTTTGAGGATTGGGGCCCGAACTTGCATGTAGATTAAGTTCCCAAAGTTTCAGCCCCGTAGCTTTTATAGTCCTTGAAATGAAAAATCGGTACAAACGCATAAACAGGCACACAAGTACACATACACACAGACAACCCCTCGTCAATATGCGTTTTCTGCAGTACGTAGATACAAAAAACGCATAAAAAATCCTAAACGTAACGTCACACGCCCTCCCGACTTGTTAGGCGCTTCGAAAATTCACGTCCTGATAAAAATGTACTTATATCCCCACCACGAAAGTGCCATACTTTCCAGTCTCTTGTCTGTCTTCAGTTCCCTTCTATCGTCTTCATCACTTTCGAGTATTTCCACTGAAAGTCCAAAACCGTTATTCCCCAACTCTTCTCATCAACACAGGGTGCGGAGATGCAAAACCACGCTTCCCCAAAAATACTGCATGACTAGAGCCATCACAAAACTGAAAGACAAGACTCCATAAAAGATGTTTTTCAGTGGATGAAGTGCTGCTTTTTCGAGGGATGACCTGGGGAAAGCCGACTAGTCGTATACCAGGAATGAATGGTCGTTGGGTTTCGGATCGAAATGGCCACATGGCAATGAAAGATCTGACTGAATTACGGCAGTACGAAGCAGTCGTACATCACTCCATCTAATTTGTTAATACAGTATGCTGAGCTTTAAAATGGAATAGATGCACACTGCAATTAATCATTCGTCAAAAACCAGTTTTATTTCTTTTGCAATTACAAATAAAGAGCGTGATTTTACAGATCTGTTGCATTTCCAATACGGACCTTAAAGACTGAACATAAATCATAAACAAAAAACACAGTAATTTAGCTTTTTCGATTTTTTGCTTCGCAAATATTCCAAAAAATCTGTGTCAAAAGAAGCTGTAAGTATTATCAGAGGAAAGCAAGAAAAATCAACAGTTAACAAAGCAAAAAAAAAAGAAAATGAAGCAAACACAAGAATGTTGTTTTTCACTTTTTCATGTTACTGAGCGCCGCCTTTCAGATTTGTCATACCGGCACGCATCACTTCATCCACGTGAAGCAAATTGCACGCAATAACACAGGCTGATGCCAAACTATTCTGTTTCACCACCACATTGTCCCATATACCCTGCATAAGAGTTGCATGAAATTTCCACTGAACGGTAAGACAATACCCGGAAAGTACAAGATGAAATTCAGCCTTTCAACCAATACAACACTGGAGAACTGATGTTACGTTTATGGCGCCCCAAACACACATATATACATTAATACAGACTCACACTCACACAAAACAACAGTATTTGCTTTCTATTACTGATTGAGCTCAATTAGCCGTGCTCAGGGTTGCCGGCACAATCATGCATTTCTGCATAAATCTTAAAACATTCCGATCGTTGACAATATGAATGACTGTTGCTTAAAAATTTAACATGTGCACTCATGCTCGTAATGTTTTTGATTTTTTTCTGTATGTGATAGGAGGGCGACTAAAGGCTGGGACGATAGTAATGGGTTATGGTCGTGTGATTTATCAATCTCCAGTACGTATAATTACTGTGAAGAGATGTTGCCAACGACCATTATGTGCGCACATGAAGTGCAGGCATTTGTGAGAGATGATACTACAGTCTTAGTTCTGCACAAGC